CTCCGTCGTGCACCATCTTCACAACTACAAAACGCGCTTGCGACATGCAACCTCGTCACGTCGCCTCCGCCGCCGACGACATCCACTAACATTGTTGAACAAACCAGCGCCGCCGGCATTGTGTGTGTGCCCGCACAGTGGAAAAATATACAAGGAAACGAAAAAACAAGAACAAAATCTACAAGTTTTACCACCGCAAATGAAGACACCTACGCACTCTGGCAGCGAGAAACGTGTTGTGCACGCGGACCCACAACGATGCTACCACGCCTCCAGTATACCGTTTGAAAACAGAACACGACAGCAGGAATGACGACAACGTAGATGACACCCGGATGATGAACACGGCGCCTGACGACAATACAAAAGCACATCCCAACGACATCAGACTGGAGGGCAACATTCTCGTGACGATACGGCACCGGTAGTGGATGGTGGAAATGGATCTCACCTTCTTTCCCGCCGCAGAAGCTCTTCGGTGCCTCCCCGCTTCGGTCTGCTCCATTCTTCCGCCGCATGTGGGCGATCGCGGGGTATCGACATGCATGCATGGCCATCCTCACTGAGCACTCATTCCGAGTCATTCACTCCACCAGCGCGTCCCTCAAGATTAGCGCATCCCCCGTTGATGACTCCACGCACACTGGCCTCAATGGCTGATGTATCCCAAGATCAACTCTACGATGCACGCCGTCTGGACCCACCTCCCACAACAGATTGTCGTCAAACGGGATGCCTGCGTCGATCAATATGTTGTGCAGGATGCAGACGGCCATAAATTGATGCGCCAAGGTGTCCATGTTGCACTTGTGGGTGCGGCGGAACAACCTCCATGTCCCCTTCAGTCTGCCAAACGCCCTCTCTACGGCTCCCCTCGTCGTCTTCTGTTTGTTGTCGAAGCGTGCCTCATAATGGTGTTGCGCGAGACTGCCGTATGAGACGACTGTCCACTCGGAGGGGGGATAACCATTGTCGCCCAGCAAGTACCTGTTCGTCCGCACACCGAAAGGCAGCATGACAGGTGACCGAGTGAAAAGCTCCCCTGCCTCCGCGCGCGCCCATAAACTCGACAGGTGGACGATCCTCACGTCGTGACAACTTCCCGGATAACCAACGAACGCATCCAACACGTGCAAGTTCATATCGACGACCACCTGCGCCTGGACGGAGAATCGACGTTTTTTTCCTGTCGCAGTAGTCCTCGCCATTGGCATTGGCGAGCTTGTCGATGTAGATGTGGGTGCAGTCGATGCACCCATGGCAGTTCAGAAAACCCTTGTCGGCGAACGCACACAAGTCGACCGCCTTTTGCAAACCAGTGGGCCAGGATATATTGTCGGGGTACGCGCTCAGCAACGCAGCAGTCACGTCCTGCACCACCGTCAAGCCGGAAGACCTGCCAATGCCGAAGTTGCACGTCCCGTTGTCGTGTGCCTCCCCCGACGCCCACCTATAGAGAGCGTACGCGACGATTTGGTCTCGCTGCAACGGCGCCCTGTAGAACGTCACACGGCGTTGCAGGTATGGAGAAAGAGTTTTCGTGATCTCGCGGATAACACGTGGCGACATTCGCAGCTTCTCCTTGAAGTAATCTACTGTGGCGTCATCACATTCCCGCAGATCCTCCCACGTACCCCCCGTCCGTTCGTGGAACCGAAGATGTCGGCTTACCTTTCAACTTCTATTCATAGCGTGCGAGAGCATCGGGCGCTGTTGCCTGAAGTTCCGCACGAGTCAGCCATCGGTCAGCTCTATGGGTGCAATATGCAAAGAAGACCAAAAATTTAGTCGGCCTGTTGTCGTAACGTCGCTGGGATATGATGTCGCCAACCTCTTGGAAACCGTCCATCGAGGGTGGGTGTTGCGATCGTCGTCCGGGAAAGTCGTCAAGTTCCGCTGGAGTGTAGAGAGCCAACTTGGAACAGTGAAAGACCGGGTTGACGGGCAAGTGGGCGGACACTTGAATGATGAACGAAGGTCCTTTGGGTGCGTCCCCAGCGGGTGCCACGATCGGCCAGGGCCCCATCCATTTCGGAAGGAGCTTGCGAGATATATCTTGTTCGAGGTTGAATTCTGCAGCGGAAACCCATACAAGGTCGCCGGCGCGGAATGGACAAGGAAGACGCTGGCGGTTGGCCTGTTGGCGCATACGTTGCTGCGTCTTTGCCATCTGGTCACGTGCCTTGACAAGAAGCTCTTGCATCCGACGAATGAAGAGAAGATGGTCGTCGCTCTCAGCCGCCCGTGGAATGATTGTGTCCAACGGAGAATTGACCGGCGATCCATGCTCGAACTCAAAGGGTGACATCCCGATAGCCGGGTGGATGGACGAGTTGTATGCCAACTCGACATCCGGCAGCTGCTCAACCCAATCTTTCTGGTCGGGCCGGATGAGAGTTCGTAGGAGGACCTGTGCAGTCTGATGTGCCCTCTCAGTTTGGCCATCAGTTTGGGGTGGCGAGCCGAACTTGGCTTGAGGGATCAGCCCCATCGTTTGATGAGCGCCAACAAAAAATCGGACATGAACCGAGTGTCGCGGTCGCAGACGATCTCCTTGGGGTAACCCTTGCTTCGAATCCAACCGGCAGAGAACCTCGGCCAACTCTGGTGCCTTGGCATGATAGCGGCAAGGCAAAAACATGGCAAACTTGGTGAGTCGGTCAACCACCATAAGGATCCCATCCACACCCGTCTTGTGCTTGGGGAACGGCCCGGTAATGTCCATGGCAATCGCTTCCCTTCGGCGCAAGGGGACCGGTAATGGTCGCAGTTCGCCGTACGGACGGTGATTGCATGATTTGCAACGTCGGCAAACCTCGCATGACTCGCAATAGCGTGTGACGTCGTCCAGAAGACCAGGCCACCAAAAGCGCTCGCGGAGTCGGCCAATCGTGCGATTGACTCCAAAGTGTCCGGTGGCGGGGGCGTTGTGGAACTCGCCAAGAAGTCGCGTGCGCAAGTGTGAATCTTGCGGTACACAAAGTAGATCCTTCCCCCGTGAGTGAACGAACTAGTATCCCTCTTGGATCCGATAGTGCGAAGGCGCCGGATTGGGGGAGGAACAGTTTGCGTACTTGTCGCGAAATTCGGGGTCGGCTTGATAGCCGCCGATGAAACTGTCCCGCAAGTCATCCTCGATCTCGAAGGTTGAGTAGACCGCGGTGCAGTGGTCCGGACGCCGTGAAAGAGCATCCGTAAAACAGTTTGACTTCCCCGGAATGTGATCGGGAAAGAAGTCGAATTGGTCGATGAAGGTCATCCAATGGGCGATGGTGCTGTTGATGGTGTCCCGAGACTTGTAGAAGACCAACGGATTGTTGTCCGTTACCCATCGGAACTGGCGTCAACCAAGGAGAAAGTTCCGCCACCGCTTGAGTGCGTGGACGAAGGCGAGAAGTTCCTTCTTGCGTACATCATCGATTGAGTGCACGACCGACACTTTCTTGCTGAAGTATTCGACCGGGTGTCGTTCCACGACGTCATGTTGTTCGAGGACAACGCCAATGCCATAGTCGGACGCGTTCGTGGTGACACGTGTTGGCAATAGCGGGTCGTATATCCGCAATACCTCCGCGGAGAGCAATGCGGCCTTGAGGGCCAAGAATGATTCACGCACGTCCGTCCCGAAGTCAAACGGCCGATCCTCGCATTGAAGCTTGGTTAAGTGAGCCGCAATCTTCGAGTACCCTGTGATGAAATGTTGGTAGTAGCCGGCAAGGCCAAGGAATGATCGGACATCCGTGACGGTCTGCGGCTCCGGCCAATCTTGGACGGCTTGAATCTTGTCCGACAACTTGAACGGACTGATGCCTTGTGGAGTAATGAAGTGGCCCAAGTATTCCAACTCTTGGCGTATGAATTCACACTTGTCGCAGTTGGCTTTGAACTTGGCGCGCCGGAGTGTCTCCAACACTCGTCGAAGATGGTCAAGATGTTCCTCCAAGGTCCGACTATAGACGAGGATGTCGTCCAAGTAGACCAACACGAACCGGTCCAGCATTGCACGGAACTCGTTGGTCATCGCCGCTTGAAAAGTCGTCGGGGCGTTGGTGAGTCCAAAAGGCATGACGACCCACTCAAAGTGCCCGTACCGTGTCTTGAACGTGGTCTTGTAGCAATCTTGCGGCCGAATCGAGATCTGATGATATCCTGACTTCAAGTCCAGTTTGGAAAAAAATTTCGCGCCACCCAAGGGCTTCAGAAGGTCGTCAATACGAGGAAGAGGTCCCGCATTCTTGACAGTTTGCGCATTGAGCTTGTGGTAATCGATGCATAGGCGAAGGTCCTTGTTCTTCTTCTGAACGAAGAGAACCGGCGCACCATAGGGTGAGCTGCTAGGCCGGATCCAGCCTTTGTCCAACAAGTCGTCGAGTTGCATGCAGAGTACTGTAAGTTCCTCCTCGCTCATGCGATAAATGCAACCTTTTGGCGGCACGACACCGACCTCGAGAATGATCTCGTGCAAGATCGGTCGATCCGACACCACGCCACGGCACCACGCCATGGACTACAGAGGGAGGCCGACTGGCAGAGGGAGGCCGAGAACGGGGAAGTCGTTGACTACGGGATCAGAGTAGCTCAGCTGCTCAACCGCATCACGGACCTCCTCGCTACTTGTATCGCGCAGCAGGAGGACATCCACTCTCTCGACCACACCAACAAGGCGCTACAACAGTCGACGGACCAGATGCTCAAGCGCATACAACAGCTGGAGCAGCAGGTTTCTACCGCCAACTCCAGCGCCAGCCCCTTCGACCTCGTCGACCGCGTCAATGTCTTGGAGATAGATGTGGGAACACTTAAGACTGGGGCACAGCAGCTGTAACAACGGGTTTCTGCAGCCGCCGGCCCTAGCGCAACGACACGCGAAACTATTGCCAAGTTTGATGGGCTCCCGATCTTCTGTGACGCATCGAAGACCGACCCCATCCAATGGTGGCGCCAATTTGAATTCAAGCTGGATATCCACCACGTCATCGACGCAAATCGGCATGCATATTTGTACTCCCGCTCAGGAGGCGCATGTCAGGCATGGTTGGACAGCATGTTGTCCGCACATGCATGTACAGTCACCGAGTTACACAAGTACATCGCCTGGGCGGATCTCACGGCGGCATGGAAGAAGCGTTTCCAAGTAGAACTGCCCAAGCACCAGGCGATGGACAAGCTGCTGACGTTTTCGCAGAACAGCATGCCAAGCGGAGACTGGATATCTGAGTTCCAACGGTTGGCAAGCACGCCCAAGTTGCCGATGAACTTCGACGGCATCAAGCTTTACTTCATCAGGAGGTTGTGCCCAGCGTTGCAGAATGCGTTAACTCAAGTCGCCGAGAACCTCAACACAAGTGAAGAACTCTTCAACAAAGCCGCTCAGATCATTGTGACGAACTTGGCAGCCCGGAATACGGGCCACTCGTCGACTGCTGGCCAGGGCGCGCATCAGCATCGGTCGAAAGTGGCCGTGGTCGCAGCAGCAACGCCTAGCGACCCTTCAATTCTAAACGAGGCTGTTTCGTTTGACAAGGGAGACAGACTCGCAGCTGCCCAGAATGGTGGCGCCCCGCCAAAGGACGAGGACGCAGCAAGACGAAGACGAACACCACTACTTCTTCTGGGTCCGGGCAAGCAGCTCAAGAGCAAGGACCTTGGACAACGTACGGGCTTACGGAGCGCGGGTACTGCGTCCGCACCAAGTACCGCTATTGTTTGTGGTGCAACAGCTCAGCACATGAGACAGCGAGCTGTCCCACGAAGGCCAAGGGTACCGCCCAATCGGGAAAGTAAGCACCGCCGAGAGTGTTGCGACGACATTCTCGACGCCTACGGAACCGGTTGCCGTACGGGTAACCTCCCTCGGTTCCGGGGCACATGCGGACGTCGTAAGTCCTCCCATTCTTCATTCCTTTGAGGACTATGCTGCTCGGCTCGTACCTTCACTGAATTCACGAGCCCAAGGACAGGATGTATGTGCGGTTTCTTCTCCGATCAGAAGCAGCGGTATTGAGTCGTCTCCAGGGAACCTTCACGGGATTCGGCGCGTGCGTTCAACATAGAGGACTTGGACCCGTTGACGCCCGAGGATTTTGCATGGCTTCCTCTCCCTTCCACCGACTGCTTACAGGAGCCGCAATGCGCAGCTCTTAGCGCTCATTTCCATACATACCTAGCCTTCTATGCACCACCAACTTCGCCGACGGAGGACGAAGTTGCGGTGGGGGACATTCTTGTGTATGTGAGCAAGGTGGCCCCCGAGTTTCGCACGCAGTGGTACGACGACAACAACGCACCGCTCCTTTATGTCCGCATCCAAATCGGGCAAGCATCCTGCAGAGCTTTGCTGGATAGCGGCACGACTCGCAACTTCATTAGCCAGTCCTTCATGCAAAGGGCCGGCCTTGGACCACAAGTTTGAAGGAAGGCACACCCTACGTCGACCAAGTTGGCGGACGGAAGAACGCGACAACTCCTTGATCGCTACATCGAAGCCGTCCCGGCTTACTTCGCACCTCATGCATGCGAACCGGTGACGTTTGACGTCTTGGACACGGACTTCGACATCATTTTGGGCATGCCTTGGCTTGCAAGTGCGGATCACACGGTCAACTTCCATCGGCGGACACTTACGGTTCGCGACGCGTTTGGCGCCGAAGTACCATGTAATATTCCTCTCCCGCACCCTTCGATCCGGTGCCAAGTTGTAATAGCCAAATCTTTTCGGGCCACTTGCGCTTACGAGCAGACCGAAGAGATAGGCTTATGTTTTCTTCGAACCGTCGCGGTAGCTGAATCTCAACCCACGGACTTGTCTTCAGACCCCCGGGTGGTGCGGTTGCTCGACGGATTCGCCGACGTCCTCGAGTCACCTACCGGCGTGGTGCCGGATCGGCCGATCTCGCACGAGATCATTCTCGAGCTCGGTGTCGTGCCGCCAAAAGGTTGCATTTATGAGCGAGGAGGAACTTACAGTATTGATGGATGTCGTTAGATTATAATCAGGATATCTCTTGATGGCGGTACTGGCGGGGTAGTAGAAACGCATTGAGGGATGGCCGCATCGGTTTGAGGATGGATATGGTGGGTTGAGTCTTTTTGACTCCTCGGGTTTGGAATCCGAAGCCCTGTGTCTCATGTTTTATTTTGGGCTTTTTGTTCCCTTCTGTGTATTCGTACTCAGGTCAAACTTTGCGTGCGATCTGGATTATTCTATATTGGTGTATTTTTCGATCCTGACTCATGCGAGAGACTGTTTGCCGACAGTTCCTCTTCTCTGATTAACATGGTATCCGTGAATGAGGTTGCACATTAATTGGTGGCCACACCTACACTTTGATGGTGGGTTGTCGTTTTGTCGAGTTGGCGCTTGGTGGGTCTTCACTCTCTTTTGGTGTTTGTACTGCACGGCTTGTTGTACCTTGGATCGGTGTTGCCTTCAAAATGCTCGTCTATTATTTCTTCACATTAGGATTTGGCATTCTTTCTCACTCTTTCTGTTACTGTACCACTTTTGATATGATGCGTGTGCTTCTGCGGTGTGCCTTTCTGATTGAGGATCACCTCATTCGGGTGATAGTTACATACGACGAGGAAGCAAGTCGGTATGGTGTTTTCATCAGACACAATTAGGGGGTTGTCTTCAACTGTCTTATGTGGATTAGTTTTCCTTTCTTGATGGTTGGCAATGGTCTTAAGTGTTTTTCCTGTGGTGGTGATGGTCACTTCGCCCGTGAATGTCATACTAACCAGAGTGCAGCGGTTGGTCCAGGGATCCCTGCTCCTCTGACTCCTTGCTTCTAGACTCCGCGTCGGAATCCTGAAGATTTTGAGGGAAAAAAGTTTCTTCGTACTCTTTTTCAGGAACGCAAGCAACATGAGGCGGTCCAGAGAAAATGGAGGATCGACAGTGTATCCAGAAGCAGCTTAAGGCTGAGACAGCGTGGCATGCCGAAGCCACTAAGGCTGAATTGTTGGCCTTGCTCGGATGACAGTTCATCGCTAATCGTGATGAGGCCAGGCTGGAGGAGGCTCAGATGATGCGCACGCCGACGTCAACTAGGAGGAGTGAAACACAAGACGATGAGTTTGGCAAAGTGGATGACATCGATGACGAGATCCGAAGACTTTATACCCTTCGTGAAAAGCGTAGGCGGTGTCGGGTCCGGTGGGTCCCGAAACAAGTCCTGACCCTTGAGAGGTGGTATACGACAAGATTGTGAACGACAAAGAAACAGGAGGACAGAGTGATAGAAAGGATGGAAGGCTAAGGCATAAGTGCCCGTCTAGGGCCCTAAAAAATGCCCTGGGCCGTCGGAACCAGTGGACCAAGAAGAAATTAGTAAAATAGTAAACGGCAAAGGGCCGCAAGAGAATAACAAAGGCGGCCCTTCTTCCCGAAAGAAGAAGGACCGCCAGAAAAAATAATGCCCTGGGTTGCGGGTCGCAGGAAGAAAGGAGTCAAGGAGGTAAAGAAAATTAGTGTTGGGGCACCGATACGTGAGAATTGAGCACGGGGCCAAGAGGGCTGCCGGTGTGCGACATAAGAAAGGCCCAAGGGCCATGAGCCGAGTAAAGAGTGGCAGCCGGGAACACTGGCGCGCGTGGGACATAAAAAGAGACTAGAAAAGGGGCAGCCATGAGGTGGAAATTGCCAAGAGAGACCGGGAGACCGCAAGGAAAAGTGTCGGGGACCATAAAGGACTAAATAAAAATAATGGCATTTTGGGGCCAAGTACCGGCGTGACCACCGGCGGGACAAGTTCGAGCGGGACCACCCGCGGGACAAGTGTCGGGGACTAGCATGGGACAAGTGTCGGGGACTAGTACGGGACAAGTGGCGGGGACTTGTGATGTCCCAAGGTAAAGATGTGAACAGTCATGAGAAGAATATGCCCAAGGCAAGTAGTGTCGTCAAGATCAAGATCTAGACGGCCAAGAATATTAGCACCACTACTACAAGCACTAGTAGAGGCAAACGGGAGGGTCAAAACAGAAAGGAAAGCAAAAAAAAAGCAAGGGATGAGGCATGGCAGCAATCCAAAATATCTCGGACTAGCCACCTTGAGAAAAAAATGGAGCCTGAAGAGGCTCGATGTGAAAAATAGGCCCCGAGAGAAAATCGGAGCAAAGGGGAGCACAATTTGGAAGAAAGGGGGGCAAAAGGAGGCTCCCATGAGCATGGGGGTGCCTCAATTGCAGTCTGAGAAATAACGGACTGCACCTTGGGCATACGAAGGGCCAAAACTAAGAGGAAGAGCCTAGAAAATACCTTAACGACTAGTTGACACTTAGCATGTTAGAAAAAGAAAGAAAAAGAAAAGAAAAAGAGTGAGAGAATAAGACAAAAGGAGTGAGAGAGAGTGAGTGAGTTGGCCGTCAGTAGGGACTGACACAAGTAGGGACTGACAGGTCCCTACTGTCCGAAAATGGAAGAGAAAGAAAATAAAAGAAAAAGGGAAAAAAAGAAAATAAAAGAAAAAATTAACGGTAAAAAACGGTCGTTTGGGGAGATACATTCGAAACCAGATACAGCCCCTAATGTGACCTCATCCCTCCAAATTTTGTGGAGGGCAATCCGGATTGCCTCGATAATATATAAATTTAAAAGATAAAAAATGAGTGAAAAAACAAAGAGGAGTTGGCCGTTTTTTTTTTCTGAGTCATGGATTTGAGATCAGATCTCATGGTTGAGAGCATATGACCGTTTTTTGTGGAGCCATCTCAAACGGTCAACTCCGGAATGAGTTGGAAGCTGAAAATGGAAAGAAGCAAAGGAAGGAAAAGGCCGAAACTGTGCATTTGGCCCAAAAAAAAAAACAGATGAAGCAAAAATTGAAAAAGTGAGCCTAGGGCCCCAAAATTGAAGCAAGGACCACTTGGGGGTAGCTCAGAATAATGTTGGTCTTGGATCTTAGCCAGATCCGAGGCTGAGATTGCTTCGAGATGTCAAAAAATATCTCGGCCTACCCAAAATGGGGTAGAAACAACAAAAAGTGATAAAAAGGTCCATAAGTTTTTTTTCTTTCAAATAAGGCTGCCCGTTTGGCACTTGGACCCAGCGGGGAAATATTTGAAAAGGAAAAGGAGGCTTGAGGAGGCCAAGAGGCAGTCCGGGTTAGTACCAACCACTCGGACTGCATGTACTTGGCCAAAATAAGATCCAGGTACCCTCGGAGAGGCCTAGTGGTGAAATTTGGCCTTGGGGGTACCTCGGTTCACTTGGAAGCACATGGGGACGCCCATGGGCTGACCGATGTCGGTGCGAATACCCTTACAAGGGTATCCGCCTTGTTTTTTGCGAGTGACAGAAAATAAGTTTGATTTAAAAGTTTAAGTATACTGCACGAGGCGTGGTTGAGGCTATGGTTTACGTTAGCTAGGTGGTTGACTAGAGCAGAGAGTGTGTGGGCGCACAGACTTAAGGCGCGCGTGATCCTTTTATTTGTAAATGAGTGAAGATTCGGCGTAATCGTCGGCCAGGTCTTTTGTTTCTGATTAAAGTAGGATTGAAGAGATTATGTCTCATTGATTGATGTGCTTGCCTGTGACTTGTGCGTACGTGCGGAGGGCGACATCGACAACAATGTGGTTCTGAAAATGGTTCGGTAGGTCTGAGCGTCGCGCAGTATCAATTTATTTAGGTGTTTGTCAGAGTTAGTCCCAGCCTTGGGCCTAGCACTAGCGGTTATGGCATCAGACTTTCATCATAGAGATTCGCGGATCGAGACTGAGCGGCGACAACGAGGGGATATCAAAGCGGCGCGAAGGAACCGCGAGGTTGAGGGTCCGACGGGGCTATCCCCGTTTGGTTTTGCAGCCGGCGGCGTCAAAACGGTATTAGTGGTTCCCTTTTCCTCGTTCGTCGTTTCGTGACGATTAAAAAGGTTCTAAATATTTTTATTATTTTTGTACTATTATTATTTTACTTCGATACTCCTTAACTCAGATGAGGTGCGGGATTTGGAGGCCGCCGCGACGGTCGAGGGCCTTGAGCGCACGCCTCCTTCTCGTTGACTTATGGGTTCTTTGAGTGTTCGGGATGCTGGTGAGAGTCCTCGGTTCCACTGCCTTGGAGTGTGGACCAGAGGGTTCAGCGTGCATGCGTGTCGACGGATGATTAGCCCGCAAGCCGGAAGAAACTTGAGTGGCGGGGA